TTGATTAGCATATCATCTCAAACCAAAGCATTCCATATCAAAACATTGTTGCTTACTGAAGAATTTATATCCATGATACTAACCTGGCAAATCATTATTTTTTGCTTTCATCACTGTATGAATGTCAACAAACGGCATCGTGAGAAATGTCTCATGCATTTGATGTCTAAACATTTTCTTTTTTTGAAATATTAGTAAGTGAATGCCAAACTGCGTGGTGACATTTTATGTAGACATAACACTTTATTATGAATTATAGACTTCAGCTAGTTATGCTACAAAGTGTTAAGTATGTAGATGAGGAGAAATTTAACAAATTTCTTTCCATATACAAAATATAGATTTTATATATGATAGTCTTAAGCTAAAAGATTTACACTTATTGCAAATTGCACCGGGTATAAGTGAACTGTTATTCAAATAACCTCAGGGCTGGTGGAAAAGCTGGTATGCTTGCACCAGGCAGCAGAATTTTGCAGAGGCAAAATTTTTAAAAATCAGAGAAGCACCAAACAACAGAATTAACCCTTTGACGCTTGCCGTCGTGACCTGAAACCTCCAATTTTCGAATTTTTTTCTCCTCTTCTTTCCAAAATTGTTGAGTTAAAATCAATTGATGACTGATCTTTTACCTCTAAATAACACAAAATGACTGCAGAATCATACATGGTTTTAGGTCTTAGTACTTCAAATCGAATGCCTTTTAAAATTCAGTTTCAATGAGACAAAATAACTTCCTTTTATTAATATAAACAACTTTAAATTTCAAAAGTTATTCATCACACATCATGATTTCTATCATAAACAATAAAAAATAGCAATAATTAAACTGCATATATAAAAAAAAATCCCTCTATATGTATGGCATTTGCTTTGTGGTTTCAGGGCGTGACCACTGCACCACTAGAGCATTGTGTCACAATGGAATGGGAATGTTTATTTTTACCCGGATATAGATAATGGGTTTTGAAACCACAGAGTTATTAATAAACAATACATGCACCTGCCCAGTAAAAAGGTCGTTCTTTTTCAGAGCCTTTTCTCTGACCTCAACACACTTGCTCTCAAAGCTAGTATTGTGATTTTATAAATTATTTCCTGTGGTTTAAATTTAGTTTAAATATACTTTGCTATAATTAAAAATAAAAATCACCTAAAGTTTTATTTAAATTAAAAATATTTTCTGAATATTTTGGGACGAAATACGAATAAAATAAGTATGAATGTAAAACAAATGATCCGTACCAAAGCCAAAAAGACCAAGCCCCTCCCCATTAACATAAAAAATGCAAATTTCATGCGCCAGATGAAAAGAAATTAAATAACGCTGGACATATATCAGTGAAATTTAGATTCAGGCAATGTACATTTTGTAACACAAGGAGGAAACATCATAGAAGATACATGTGCGAAACGGGCAATGTGGGTTTATGCATGTACCAAAAAGACAAAACATGCTTTGAACTGTGTCACAAAAAATAAAATTTTTCTTTGCCCCCCCCCGATGCTTTTTTTGTGTGTGTGTGTGTGTCCTTATTTTACTGAGTTTTTTTTTATCCATTTAACCAAAAGTTCTTATTATGTAGGTACTTATATTTTCACTGCTATAAAAAAATTACAGAAATGTTTATTTTTTAATTTTTTCTGACAATTTACTTTGTAAAATAATGTAAAAAAAATTATATATAATGCAATTCTTACATACATTTCTTTTTAAATTCGTAAATTTCGTCATGCGCTCGGAGAAAGGTAAGTTTTTTCTTCCTACTACCTCAGTAAGTCTCAAAGTCCTAGGCGCACGGTGGTTTCACAGTACAACCACCTCTCACAGAACAATGAGCAAGAGTAGATTTTTTTTAATTCATATATTATTTGTCTCTAGGATCATAATATTCAAGTTCTAGAGTTTTTAGTTAAAAAAAATTATAAAAATAATATCATGCACGCCAAAGGGTTAAGGGATGGCAAAATCTTCAGAATTTAAAAAAAGCACAGGGACACAAAATTTAGGGGCAGGTTTATTTTCCCCCCATTATTATTCAGGGAGGCATTTGGGAACAAAATTTAGGACATGCAGAGACTGCTGTGGGCTGCAAAATGTCTTGCACCGGCTGTGGAAGTCTGAAGTATATGTGGGAATTTATTTGATACTTGGATTGGGTATTGGGGGGGAGGAGAAAAAAATGAAATTTTCCAATTAATAAAATTTGTTCAGGAATGTTAATAAAGAAAGACGATACAGCAGAAGTTTCTCATTTTCTGTCAGTGCCCTAATCTTCAGTCAACTAATGGACAGCAAAATCTGTAGTATGGAATGAAATCTAGAAAACATTGTTACCTATAGTAAAGAAAGTGACAGAGAAATTGCTGAGAGTGAAAAAATTTAGATTTGGAATTTAATGGCAATTCTCAACACAGCAGTTAACTGGACTTAAAGAATGTGACTTTGTGAACAAAAAATAATGTTTGTCTGTACAATTAAAGAGAAAGTATTAGTAATAAAAAACAAAGCAACTTGTTTAACTTGCATTTAAAGAAATGTTTAATAAAGCAAACAAATAAATACTGAGCCCCTCTCCTTTTTGAGAGGACGAGAGGAATTTTGATTTCTGAAGGTCATAAATTACTATTTCATATTTTTACTTTATAATTTCGTCGTGTTATCTTACTAGATTAAACTGATGATCTTGCATCCAGAAAAATCCCAAATCTGGAATCACAGAATTCCTGGCCCACAAGTCTCGATCTTGGATTTTGTTCTGTGTTTATTTTTATTTTGTAATTGTCTATCATGTCATACTAAATAATTTGTCTGTTTAGCATTAAGTATTTGTTTTTATTAATTTGTTGATAATTTTACATTCATTTATGTAATTTTTTTTTTTTTTTACAATTAAAGATTATACATTTGTGTAATCTTTAATTAATGGCATTTATTATATTCTATAATATATTATTTTGCAGTGTTTGTATGTTATTTTGAAAAAAATATATCTAATTCTGTGTAAATAATACATAATAATCTGAAGGAAAATAGGGAATACATGATGTTGAAATCTGCTGGTCCTCTACAACATTTAGTAATATTTTCCAACATTTTGGAACTTTAAAAAAAAAGTGCATTTTTTACACTCCAGGTTCATCTCTAATATATTTTATCTGGTAATGCATTCTCTTGTCATAATATGATTAATTACTATTGCTATCATAAGCCCAGAGTTAATTGAAAGTTCAGCCTAGTTTGTTTGCTGCAGTATTATTAAATTTATTACTCATTGGCTTTAGGCCTTTTTTGTTAATAGTTTATTGCATGTTTACAACTTTTAAGTTGTAGATTTTCGACCACAGCACACATGTTCGGGTGTAGGACTGTGTGTATTAAATTTGGTGTCTCAAAGTGGCATCGTTTTTCCACAATGCAGAGTAGCGTTAAAAATTTTCTACATATATGGATAATTTTAGTGAAATTATATTCAAAACTATTATATTTTTTCCTACATAATGTAACAGGAAAATGTAGTAGGAAGATGCTCTGCTGGAAAAATAAGAATACAGAGGCAAGTCTTTTGACATTGAATAAATGGCTATCTCACAAAATTAACGAGATATTGCCAAGCTGCCAACAGGGTGGCTAATTTTTGTTCGTAAATTTGGCGAGAATTCACTAAAAATTTCCAATCTCAGTGACCATTTGGCAACATTTTGGTCGGGTCCCTGTATCACTATAATAGGTATTGTAATTGAATAAGTTAATAAATCGCTATATTAACTCTAACCATAATTCAACCCTTGTGTGCCTTCCAGTAATTTCTAGAAGCAAAAAAGTACTAGAAATATCTTGGTAGCTGGGTGAAAACTATATAAGGACAGCAAGAGCATGTGCCCTCAGTTGTTGTAAAGAGTTCTTAGTTCAGAACGATTTTGGAAAATTGAGAGCTTCGCTTCTTAGAAGTGCTTTGCATTGCATTGTGTTTAATGTTCTCAGTAGTTCGAGATGTAATTACTGTGATTGTACTGTCTGATACTATGAACACCTGTACAAGTATTTCTGTGAAAAATTCCAGAACTCTAAAGTATTTCTTTTGATAAAATAAATTTTATCAACCTATCTTTGGACCTGTGTGCATTCAATCTATAACGAACCTGTACACATGCAAAAGTAGACATGCAGATAGGCAAGCACTCTTCATTATATTTTTTTTAAATAATACGTAGTAATAATATTTTGTAGCAACCATTTTGAAAAGTTAATTGGGTCAAAAATGGTTATGGCAAAAGTGCTGCAATTGGTGGTTCATATTTGATGATATTTGTCCTTGCTTAAGATTATATAGCAATATCTGCTTCCTTCTTAAAATGCATTTGTTCTTTATTAAAAAAATAAATTAATAAAATAAAATAAAATTTAAAAAAATAAAAAAGTGTGTGTTGAAGCTGCAGTAAAAATTCTAGTTTTCCTCTTAATCTGATTAGTTTATTTAAAAGATTTTTTGAATCAATAACTTTTAACAATGTAAAATATTTTGCAACTGCAACATTATCCTTTTAACATTTTTTAAAAATTTTTTTAATAAAACTAATGATAATAATTCTTTGTTTTTGAATTGACTATGAGATCTATTTGATGCAATATGATTATTATCTTTTTGATTTAAAATTTTAAAACTATTTCATTCTGTAATTATCTGCTGTTATACTGTAGTTCTTACAAATACAAAAAAAATATCATCACAACATCTTTTTTTTTTTTTTTTTTTTTTTTTTTTGCATACCTTATGTTAGGGAAATTGAAAACGTGTCATCTTGCTTATTAGTGTACAAATTGTAGGTATATTTATTTTTCTAAATTTAATCTATTTGTGTTGAATTTTAGATAAAACATAATGAAATAAAATAAAACCTTTAATTTTGTAAATACAAATTTTTATATTGCTAGACTAATTCATAACTTGTACAATATGTAATGTTATTAATATTTTAATGTATTTAACAACTTACAATTCATATTTGTACATTATAATTATTATTTGTTAAAATTATGTTTCTGTGATTTACAGGTTTTAGACAGTGCAGTTGCTTCATTTACACTTGAGATTATTGCTCGTCATGGTGAGCCTGCACCCAGGCTATGCAATAAGGATCCCTTTACTTTAAGATCAGCTGTGTATTTACATTCTTTATTTCCTAAAGCAAAATTTATTCTTCTTATACGAGATGGAAGGGCTGTAGTTCACTCCATAATAACTAGAAAGGTAATTGTTTGGTTAATAGATCGCATTAATTTAAATGCTTACTTATCTTTAATATACTTTATAATCAGTTATGTCATTAGGTCTGTGAAAAATAATGTAAAAAATGGTAAACAGAATGACATACTTATTTAGGGACTTAAATAGTTAACATTCTGTAAGAAAATTGAATTTTTGATTCTTTAAGTAGCAGATGATGACTTGTTTTTATTATTTCAGTGTAAATTCTCTGCAAAAAATCTGGCTTTCTCTGTTGTGATGAGTTAATATCTGCTTTCTTTCACATGTACCCCCTTTGAGTTTGCTTGTTTCTTATTAATGAGAATGATGTAATCTCAGATAGTAGATATTTGTAAATTGCAGGCAAAAAAATACATGCAGTTTTATGAATGGCCCTTCATGTAAAAAAGGTAAAACTTGAATGTAAAGGTATCATAAAATTTGTCTGGAAAAAAATAGTAAATATTTATATATATATTTTTATGTTATGATATCCATAATTTATGTGTCAAAACTTAGGAATGTGAAATTCATGGAAATTCATGTGACTGATTGTGCTTTATTCATATTATTTACATATAACATAAGTACATTTCAAGGGTTTATGTATATTTTTGGTGAAAGTCTATGTATTTTATCATATATATGTAAATCTCCCCAGTTTTTTTTTTTTTACTTTTATAAATGCGTACTTTACACAGAAATTTATGTACATGTTCCCAATTTTTTAACTATGCACATACATTTTGGTAAAAATTTAGATAGATCCACTGTACTTTACTATTTATTAACATGCAAATTTTGTGAATCACCTCTTTTCTTACTAACTTTACTATTACTGCATATACACATATTTTTTGTGAAATCTACATATATTTTCACAGATAGGTCTACATTTATTTAGTACTATACTTCTGTTGTTATACAGAGGTAATATACGCATACTATGAATGTAAAAATTACATTTTAAACACATTTGATTTTCAGATATTGATGCTCTTAGTTATATAGTGGTAAAATAAAACATATATGTACCAGACATAGTTAAACTTTAAAATATTTAAGACATGCCATCCACATATTTTTTCCATGTATATGTTGAAATTTTCCACAGTTTATTAAATATGTTAAACTAAAATAAGAAACCAAAAGGTTATTAAGTAAATCAGTTTCCTAAAAATATATGAATTTAATATTGTAGAATTTTATATTAAAGCAATTGCTAAGATGAAAAATAGAAATAATTTTCATTTAAATTTAATTTTTTGAAAAAGTCGTTGAAAATTTAAATTTTTATTTAAACAATTCATATTTAGTATGTATTGAATGACAAATAACTAAGCAAATTTTAAAAATAAATTACTTTTATATGTTTTACCTTCAGAAAAAATAAAAGCAATTAGAGACATCTACTCCACCCCCCCCCCCAGATTACGACTTATATTTAATACTAGTTCATAAAAATATATCTGTAGTTTTCTTCATACATAGATTGATATATAGATTATGTCTATGTATCAATCTGTATGAAATTTCCTCTTTATTAATGGCCTTTTCATTTTCATAAATTAACTTTTTTGGTTAATTTAATGTTTCACAGGTAATGGTATTTTTTAAATGCAGTGAAACTTACCAAGAAATTGTTTTTTAAAAGGAACTATTAGAACGGGATGTGATATTTTTCGTAGTGCCTATAACAAATATATGCAATATTACAACTGATGGAGCACCAAATATGACAGGAAAAAAATCTGGATTTCTTGAAAGCTTTAATCAAATCTATCCTTGGAACCAATGTTGTTTTCCTACATCGTGTTTTACATCAAGATTCTCTGTATAAAGCATGCTTTTAGCATTGCAACATGGGTTTTTATTAATTGCGGTCAATTTGACCCAGCCCGCGGTTTAGCTATACCAAAACTGCCACGGTTCTAGTGTTAAAAAACTTTGTTTTGTATTCTTGTGTTATTAGAATTATAACACAAAAGCTAAATAAAAGCCTAATTGTCAAAGCTCACCAATCCTATACTGCTTGTGTTTTTACCAAAAATAAAGGCTTGTCCATTTCCTTGGCAGCTATCAAATGAGATATTAAATAAAAAGCTTTAAATAAATGCAAACAGATCTTAAAATATTACATGATAATAAATTAAGATGTATAATATCCAGAATGATAGATCAGGAATCAAGTCACATACAGAATATTTTTTTCGTCTAGCTGTGTCACTCTAGTCTGGTTCATTAGCATCTACTGAAGGAATCTGGTTTGACTTGTTTTGCTTTCTTTTGCCACTTTTATTGATTACTGTAATTATAATATATACAAATGCCCAAGTTTTCACATTGCATTTAATAAAGTATGAAAAAGGACTAAATTTTAATATTTTTAATTTTCTTAATTTCTTAAAATTTCTTTTCTTTTCTTTAATTTTCTTTAAAATATTTCATTTTAAATTATGAACTTACAAACACTTACAAAACAAACTTCTGTCACTTACACAAAATTCCTCTTTTGTGCATTATGTCCATAAAACTCCTTAAAGACTGTATAAACAGTCTTTTCTTTATTTTCACAACCATTGGTTATAAACTTATATTTCTAATTACAAAAATGTTTTAAATGATGTTAATATTCATGTTATAGAATATTTTAATTAAAAAAAATTGAAAAAATTGCAAAATCTTAACATTTTACATGTTTTTTTATTTCATACAGTTATGCTCATTCTAAAAAAATATAAATAAATTTCGACCTTGATACAATAAAAATATTGGCTGCAATATGCAAAATTTGAAATTATTATTGATTTTTGATGGGGGTGAGAACTCAGTTGAAAAATAAGCTAGGATAGTTAAAGATTTCCCCCCTCCCATTTAATATCCAGAGTTGCCAACTCTCCCGATTTAGGCGGGAGACTCCTGATTTTCGACCGCTCTCCCGCCAACCCGATTTACAATATATTTCTCCCGACTTTTTCTTATTCTTAAAATTTCTCACAATTTTTATGGAACTTGGCTTAATACTTTGTTATATGAACAAAAAAAGTGATTTTGGACTTCTGAAAGCAATTGAATTTTCTCTAGATTATATCTAAAACAAAACCTTCCAAATTAGATAACTTCTGCTTTGTGAGTGAGAGCATATACGTATCAAGAAACGTCGTTCTTCAGTTCTCCAATGGGCATTGTGCTCCACTGCATGTCACCTAGCATATATTCGCCAATGAGCACAAAGCAAGCTCAAGGATTGCAAAAAAATTCTTTGGCGTTGGGCCGTTATTTGGATGTTCTTTAGTTACTTCGGTCATTTTGTCCTGAATTGTGTGAGTACACGTGCCTTCGGAAAAAGTTTTATAAATTATCATCTTTTGTTATGTCTGCAAGAAAGGTGAAATACTCGTGCACGTTTCAAAAATCGTACACAGTTGACTTTCCTTCCAATATTTTCTCAAGAAAATGTAATAAATTTGCAATGTGTACCGCCTGTCATTGCGATTTTTCGATTTCGCATGGTGGAAGGGCGGATGTTCTCAAACATGTGCTTACACAAAAACACAAGGACAACATGAGTTGTTTTGAAAAAAACTAAAAATTAAATTTTTCTTCATAAACAAAGGACCAAAAAGTTATTAATGCAGATTGTCTGTTCTCTGCCTTTTTACTGGAACACAACCTGCCACAGAATGCATCGGATCACGCTGCAGCTTTATTTCAAAAAGTGTTTCCCTATAGTGAAATCGCTAAGAAATACTTAAGTGCAAGAACCAAAACAGGTGCAATTGTTAAAGAAATGGATTTGAAAAATAAATCTTCAGTTATTGATTGCATTAAAATAGCTCCGTTCTGCCTCTCTACGGATGGAAGCAATAATACCGATTCAAAACTGTATCCAATGTTGTTTCTTTTTTTAATCCAGAGTCTTCAGAAAATGAGTGCAGTTTACTTTCTGTCCCCACTTTAGAAGGACATTTGACAGGCTTTACTATAGCACATCTAATTATTAAAACTTTAAAAGAAAATGTAGTCCCTCTGGATAATTGCTTAGCAGATGGTGCCGATAATGCAACAGTATTGGTAGGCTTGAAGACTGGTGTTGGAAATCTTAAGAAAGGAAAATTCAGATTTGCAGATTATGAGGTGCACCTGTCACCTCTTAAATTTAGCAGCTGAAAAAGGGGCAGCTTCTTTACCAATAAATGTGGATGAACACATTGTTGATATTTACTATTATCTTGAAAGGAGTTCTAAAAGGAAGGGAAAATTTAAACATTTCCAACAGCAGTTTACAATTAGAAAACTTGGATGAAGTTATAAAATCAGCTAGGATTGACACCCAGTGGAGTTTAATTGGAAAAATGAAAGATGCTGATGGAATTTGAAAATATAGTGAACTGTTTAGAATTATGTTGGCCATCTTGACAGTTCCCCATAGTAATGCAGAGTGTGAGAGCATTTTCAGTGTTGTTGCGAAAAGGAGGACTAAATTTAGATCTAAAATTAGTGATGACACATTAGAAAAACTTTATTAGTGAAAGCAGGCCTACGTGGCAATTGCTATGAACAAAATTATGAAGTTTCTTAAAGAAAGCAAAATCTGCCACTGTTTAAAGCATTTGTACAAAACATGATTAAAGGTTTTTTTTTTTTTTTTTTTTTTTTTTTTTTTTTTTTTTTTTTACTTAAACAATGCAAGTAATAAAAATGTTTTTTATGTGTAAGGTATTTTTGTGTTGCTTGCATTTAAGAATTAGTTAGTATTTAAAGTTAATTCATTATTAAAAACTATATTTTCATCATTCAAAAAGTCTTAACATTGTGAAAAATCTCACGATTTCTTAAAAAAATCTCTTGATTTTTGAGTCATAGGTTGGCAAGTATGAATATCATTCAGAAATATTATTATGTAATTTACTAGTGTTTAAGATTCTTTAATCTACAATATTAGTACATTTGGTATGTCAAAAGCATTTTCATACAAGAAATTTGTAAATTTCGAATGCTAAAACTATGTTTATAATAATAACATGCAATTTTATTATTTCTAGGATCATAATTTTTAAAGGTCATTGAAAAAATTCATTGGAACAAAAATATTTTCCATTTTTAATTTATGAAAGTAATGATGCAAATTGGCTATACCCTAATACATGAAGGCTGCCATTATTTTCTAGAACACAAATTCTGTATGAGTCTGTGAATAAAATCTTTTTTTTTTGGAAAAATTTGTATTGATCAAAACTTTCTGTGGAAGTCTGCATTCTATTGCTGATCACTTAATATCAGAAACGTTTTTCTAAACGGATATCGCCTTAGGCAGTTAGCCCTCGTGGCTTTGCAGTAATTAAATAACCTAACCGGAACGAATATTTGATTTTGATTGTATGAGAGTCAAATTTTTATATTTAATTTTTTAGAATATAAATGTTTAATAAATATAACTATATAGATTGGGTGATTGTATAAAAAGTTAGGTTTGTAATTTTTATGAAATTGACTTTTTAAATGTGAAAATGCCAAAAAAATGGTATAAGCCAAATGATATATGCCAAAAAAATTTCTCATATTTAAAAATTTTTTTAACTTAGCATGTGTGTCTATGACTAGCATTTATAAAAGTAAAGGTCCTGTAAGAACTATTTTTGGCATAGTATATATGCAGATTTATAATAATTCTTTATCAAAAAGGGTTTGAAATGTTTTAATTCATTTAACGTTTCCATATCCTATTTTTTATTATTATTACATGATGTTTACATTTGCTGTATTTTAATGTACTTCCCCCCTCAAAAATAACAATTATCTTAATTAGTCCTAAGTTCTTACTAATATTTTCATGTCTGCTATCTAGTTTGAAATTTTTAAAAAAAGTTCAATTTATTTTTATAATTATAAAATGAAAGAAAATTCAGTTATTTTTCATCTCTTCAGGTGGTTTTGAGTTATATAGGTAATATATATGGTAACTTCAATTCTTTAGTTAATTTTCTTTTCATTCTGTAGGTTACAATAACAGGTTTTGACATCAGTGATTACCGTCAGTGCTTAACAAAATGGAGTGCAGCAATGTCAGCTATGTATTCTCAGTGTGTAAGTTTAGGTGCTCAGATATGTATGCCAGTTCATTATGAACAATTAGTGCTACAGCCTAGACCATGGATGGAAAGTATTTTAAAGTTCCTTGAGGTTCCTTGGAATGATTCAGTATTACATCATGAACAGTTGGTAGACAAACCCGGTGGAATATCTATCTCAAAGTAAGATTATTTACAATTATATTGCATGGGAGGGAAAGCTTTTACATTTGTAGATATAGTTAAAAATAATGAAATTACACTGTTGTTTAAAAAAATAACCAACAATGGCTTTAAAAAAAGTGCAAATGTAAAAAAGGGGATTAAAATATACAATTTGTATGACCAAATGCAAATAGGCTATGAAAATTAGCATAAAACACAATCCTGCAGTCACACCACAATGCCTTAAAAAAGCCAAGTTCCACCTAATCCAAGATAGCCAAGGCAGAAAGCAGGAACTGAAGACATCATTTGCATGATGAAATGCCTTAGAGGGCTGTCAGGATGTTGCAAATTGGTGCAAGACGGTCTGCTGTTGCGAGAGAGCTAAATGTGCATCGTAGTGTCATCAATAGTTCATGAAATCATTACCAAAGAGATCAAAAACTCTGTAAAAGATGTGGGTCTGGACACCATAGGAGTACCACAATGGCAGATATCACTTCCTATTGCTTTGTGCAAGATGCCATAGATCTCTAACAGCATGACAGCTAGAGTCATATGAGCTGGGATAGCCGCGAACAGCTGCGCTAACCTCTACATGATTCCTGTTTGTTCAATCACAGCAGTCCAGTATTGCATACACCCTCTTCTATGTCCTTTTATTGCTGTGATGGGTACCACCGTGATATTTATGGACGATAAGCAGCCACCCGCATAGAGCTCAAGCTGTGCAGAGTCATCTAGAGAGTGAAACTTTGTGTTGCTACGTGCAAAATCCGTTCCACATTTGGCATAGTCACCAGACCTGAATCCCGTCAGGCATCCTGCATGATCTCCGACATGCATTACTGCAGGAATGAGCGCTACTGCCACAACAAGCAATCAATGACACAATTGCCTTCCCATTGTCAAGAATGCATATTTCACCTAGAGGGTATCATCGTGGCCTTCGAGAACAAGGTCTTACAGCTCAGTGACGTAGAGCGCGTGACATCAGTACAGAAAGTGCACCCTTCTTTGGGTTTGAGGGCAGCGTTGGGTCAAAGGTTATTGTTAGTCGCCATTGCTACGAGAGAAGTGGTTGAACTGCAATTATTGACCTAAAATCTTGATATATACCGTGCTTTTTTCGTAGTCGGACACTTTAAATTTGAGTTTTCTTGCAATTTGTGAGTTGTTCCAGAAACAATATAATGTCTTACATGTGTTCAGTGCCGCGATGCAACTGAAATTACAATACATATTTTCGCTTTTCCTGTTGATGCAGATGTGAAAGTGGCTACTTGCAATAAATCGGAAGGACTTCATTCGGATTAAAAACAGCAGGGTGAGGTTTCATTACTATGATTTTATTGATATTTAAAGAAAACTAGATTAAATATTCGATGCGTTTACTATGTCTATTTTTAAAGCTAAAATGATTTCTACTGAAAAACTAGTGTAAAATATTTAAAAAGTAAACAATAACTAGTGTAAAATATAAAAGCAAACAATAAACTAATTAAGTCCATACTACTACAAGATTATTTAATGTATTGTAAATTTTGTTTCATGTATTGCTGAAACGCTGTGCATTATGATTATATATTAAATGATAATCATATAGCATTAAATGATTTGTAATATCTAATTACTTCAGTTTTATTTTTAATGTACTTGTCATTATAGATTTAAAGATTTAAAAGTAATAATGTTTTTCATTTAAAAATTCAAATTTGTGTTATCATTTTTTTAAACTTTTTTGTCATATTTTCAAAATTTTTGTGAAAATTGTAATTAATATTATATTTTTAAAAATATATAAACAAAACTTGAAAACAATATTGTTACACCAGTTGCTTATAAAGCTTAGACTTTTTCCCCCCTAAAATTTGCTGTTACGTTTTTTAAATTAAACTTCATACATTAGCAAAATGCTATATTTTTTAAAAGCTATAGAGTATATGATGTTTTAAATGGATGCAATAGAATAAACAATTAAAAAAGATTAAATATACTGGGAGAATGAAGTGCTTTTGCAAGGAACGTCCGGTATCCTATATTATCATTGCACTTTCCTGATCTGATATAGGCTTTACCACGTGTGCTTCGGTAACGAGATGTGGGAACCTCGGCTAACTGCCTTGCATATTTTAAAATTTAAAACATAATTCTGAAGTGTGTTCCTTTCAAAATGTTGTCTATTAAATTTTCAGAGAATTATTATTTTTTCCCCTTTACAATTCCTTAAGGATACACATAATTAATCCAAAAAATCAAAACTCACACCTAGTTGCAGGCACAACTTTCGATCTAGAGAGCTACGAAATTAACTATTATGATCATAAACTCTAAAGTGGACATATCAAGATTTCGCTAAAGAGTAATATAGAATAGTAAGAATTCATATCGCGATTAAGAAAATGTTTAATAAAGACAGTCGGCAAAATTAAAGTAAAATGATTTTCTGTGACAGATTAAAAATAGATCTTTGCTTTTTATTCTGTAAGAATCTGGATCACTGTAAGTTTAATAATTATTTTAATAATAACAATAGCGCCATTTGACAGTTTAAAACAATGCTGACATTAAAAATAAATTTTAATATATTTATATCATTAAATAAATTATGAAATATTCCTTTTTAATATTTAGTTTATTATAAAAGATCTTCTACACTAAAAATTTTTTTTAAACAATAAATGTAATAACCAAAAATGTTAGTTCTTTCATTTTATTGCCATACTGAAGAAAATTAAATATTATTTAAAAAGTCTGGTAAGAAAAAGTTTGGTTCTTTGTAAAATGCTCTTTTTTTATTCATATTTCTCATGTTTACATATAAATGAAAAATAATATGCAATGTTTCGTTTGCAGTTCGAAAGCTTAACATTTCCGCGTTATGAAGCGTTGGAAAGTTTATCCAATCTATGGAAAACAAAATGAGACTAATATAAATAATTATTGATCATCCAGGTGAAAACTTTTATCAAGTATTAAGAAAAATAAGCTCAGATGTCTGAAATCTTAAAGCATGAATATATGATATATAGTTTAAGACGTTAATCATATTAACGTGATAGTATCATTTATTTAATAATCTCCTATTTACTTCACATCAGAATAATATAAAATTATCGTCTCTGATAAATTAGCGCTCTGTGGGTTCACTAGCTTTCGAATGCAGGAGAGAGATTTCTTCGCACTCCTCATCGTGACGTCACGAGAGAGCTGGACGGCCTGTTTCTCGAAGGTCACGGTATCATACCCGTTATTAGCATGATGTTTGCATTGTGCATTCTTCTGACACATTTAGTCTTTCATAATGTGATGGTCGTAATACGTGTGTTTTTTTGCCTTTGCTTTATTGTTTGCTATGTGGTCTAGTAATGCCAGACCAACCTCTTGGATCCATTTCACACATATTCATTAAAAGGTTTGTTTTATTCCATGTTTTGCATATTTTTGGATCAGATTGGTTTTGGTTTATGTGATTATGGCAAAGCCTTGAGGACTATTTGCATAAGGATAGGGATGCCTTTGTGAATGACTTTCGAAAAGAAACTGGCTTGTATACACATTTTTTGAGCAGGAGTGTGTGTATATGCAATATATTTGATCTTATATTAAAATTTCTTATTTAATGTTGGGAAGACCTATCTTTGTTTTGGATTTATTGATGATTCTTGGACTTTTGGATCTGACCTAACAGCCTAACAGCTAACCAGTTAGGATCAATAACAACGTTAATTTCTTCAACATTTTATATAGTTTTTCTTATCCTAACATTAAAGCTATTTTTTATACAGGTCTTTTGTACATATCCTTGCTGAATTATCAAATCAGTCATAATGGAATTTTGGAATTTATACCTTTGATAAATCAGAAAATAATTTTCCAAATGTAATTAATTTCAAATTTCTGAATAATTTACCAGTTCTTTTCAATCACTACATGCTTAATGCCTCTTGTATTTTATATGAACAGTCAGCAATTTGAGTATATAATACGAGATCATCATATGGGATCCTAAAGATTTATAACATTACAACTTCCCTTTATTTGCCTATATGAAAGTGATTTCATGAGAATCTGAAGTCACATATCTCTTGAATGAAGTGATGAACTGAAATCATTTCAATAGCATTTTATTTTTTCTAACCTCTCAAATATGCCATGTAACATTATTGCACTTTTTCTGTGGCACCCTGCATTATAAGACAAGTCAATATTGTAAACTATACATAGTAATTGAATATTTGTTTTGTAATTAATTTTGCACTGTAATGATTTTTAATTACAACTAGTCACTCATTATCCAAAATAAGTTTCTAATATTGGTTTCTTTTGTGTGTGTGTGTGTGTGTGTGTGTGTGCAGTTATTGTTATAGTTATTACTTTAAAACAGGAACAAAAAAGTGCTAAGCATAAATTTCTAATTAAAGATAACTTTTTTAATGCATATTTCTCTCAGATATTTTTACGAGTTTAATGAAATTTGAGAATCATGTTTGTACTATAATTAAGATACATGAGAATAACGTAAGTAAATAACAGTAACATTCAGTATCATTGTAAAGAAAATAAAATGTATATGTTTATTTTTAATTTAATTTATTTATTTTTAAGGTTGGAAAGATCTTCTGACCAAGTTATTAAACCAATTAATATTGAAGCATTAAGTAAATGGGTAGGCCATATTCCTGATGATGTCGTGCGAGACATGGCAAATATTGCTCCAATGTTAGCAACTTTAGGTTATGATCCTAATGCTAACCCACCAGATTATGGGAAACCAGATGCATTTGTATTACAAAATACAAACTTTATCAAACAAAATGAGAAATTATGGGCAGCTAAGGAACAAGAACTACAAAAGCAAAGAGAACTATTAAGAAAAAGTGCCCTTCGTAATAAACAAACAGCAAATGATGTAAATAAAGGTTCAGTTGAAGGAAAAGAACAAAATGAAAAAATAACATGATAAGAAGAGTATAGAAGTCAGATTGTAATAAAAATCCATAACTTTTAATGTGATGAAATCAATGTGGATGCACATACCTGTGAAATGGATCTTCCAACTGTCCAATGTTGTGATCTCTGTTGTTGAGAGTTTTAATAGCTAGTTATTTATGTATAGACATTTTTTAAAAATCATTATAAAATATTATATGAAGTCATTGTAAATTTACAAATAACTTTCAAAGTGGCATTTATGTTTTGAAGTACATGTTGTCTGTTATGTATTTCATATTCACAATACTAGTCATATAACTTCTGAAAGAGAAATCTGTGAGTTTTATAGACTAAAAGACTTCTTCATTACTATATATATAATTGTCTCTATTTTTCATGTTTTCATTTTTTTCAGAATAATAATAAGACATAAATTATTTAAATTTGATTGCTGTATATTTTTATGCGTAAAATATAAAAGTTATACAAATTTTAGCCTTTATGATAAATTAATTGTGATTACTTGGAAAAAATATTATTAATTTCAGATCAGCTGAAGAGAATTTAAGTTTTAGAATCATAAATTTTATCATTAAAAAGGCATATTTATATATATTGTATTGAGCTTTAAATGTTTCTGTGGTCCATTCTTTTTATACACCTTTCTACTAACATATCATTTGATAAATTCGTAGAATAAATAGATTTAGAATTTTATATTACTGCATTTATGACATTAACATTTCTCAAAAGAAATTTGCATTGTGAAAACTAAGGAGAAAAGTATGGAATCCAAGATATTTTTTATCAGGAGAGCTAGCTGTTCATAATTTCCTGTAAGCAGGAGGGGAAAAAAATAATTTATGAACTTTAGTTCTTTAAATATGTTTTTGTATTTTTGCAAAATCAGTTTCTGAAACAATGATTTATTTTGCCATTGTATGATTGTATGAATGGTTTTGAATAGACAATTGAGCATCCATTTTTAAGAATCTCAATCCTAAAATCAAACTTACAACAGCATTATGTAGCTGATATGTTGGTCATTGTACAACTGATATATTGGTTAACTGTATTTTCAGTGTATTTACTTTAAAATATATTTTATCTTTATTTATATAAAGGTCACTTTTCTTTTACTTAGATAAAAAAAAAATTATACATTCAATAAATATAATTGCTGAAATGTATTTCTCTGATTGTTTGCAATAAAATGTTTGTGTTTATGTTTACTTTCTTCAGTTCTGTTTTAGATGCTTGAAAGGTATTCGGTTAGTTAGAAAAATAATATCTTAAAGCATAAAATTTTAGCTATGTTCTTTTACAATAATAGTTGCAAAGGCAAGTTTATTACGCAGACTGATTCACCATAGAAATGTATCTCTAATCTGAAATTCTAAATAAGGAAAATTTTCCCTTAAATGTAAGAGCAATGATCATAAAGTGCTTTTGAAATTTCTAATCATATTGTAAGATAAGTCTCTGCTTAGCTTACATTTTAGTACAAGTGTTAACTAAACTAAACTCGGTGGCTAAACAGCTCTAGTGGGCCACAGCTTGCAGTGCCCCGAAAGCTGCTTTCTTGACCTTAGGCTCTGGAGTACATCAGCATATGCCCTGCCTCAGGTGTTTAGTCCCCAAGAAAACTTGTTACTCATTTTATCGACTAGAATGAAAGGCTGAGTCAACCTTGCTCAGCCCGGAGATCGAACCCCGGACCTATGGTGCAGCTGCGCGATGCGCTAGGCATTTCGCAAATGGGTAATCTAGTACAAGTGTAGTACTAGTATTATTAGTACAAGTGTATCTTACATTTTAGTATCGAGTCTGTACTAAAATGTAAGATAAATTTACAGACCCTTCTGCAACCCAACACCCATAAAAGGTTGCATGAAAGCTTTAACATTTATTTTTATCTATCTAAAGCAGGGTTTCTTTAACTGTGGGTCCCGACCACCAAGGGGTGACAGAACCTGCCGCAGGGGTAGCCAAAAATTTTAGCAGTTTTGATATTTCTTTAACTAATAATAATAATTTTACAATTACCAAATATTCTTACACAAAGTATCTGAAAATAGATAAAGATAAGGCAATACAGACAAAGAAAAGAACGAAAATGTTTTGACGCATTCTTTTTATAATATAAAAGTTCATTTCCTTTGCTTTGCACATGATGCTGTCATTTCGTCTATTACTTATTAAAATTTTCACATTGTTCTATGTCTTAAAATTAGAAATTAAAGTTAATGACCTAAAACTGCAATAGCATATTACAGTACAAGTGAAAAAATTGACAGTTTTCTCACGTGTGTGTCAGATTTGCGCAATACTTATGGGGTCCCACAAAATTCTTGTAAATATTATGGGGTTCTTGGGGTTGCGAAAAAATCTCGGTGATAAAAAGGGGTCATGACTGAAAAAAGTTTAAGAAACTCTGGTCTAAGAGAAAGATGGCTTCGTGAACTTAAAGCTGTATTGACAATTAAATTCATCATTTTAATAGCATCAATTATTACTTTTAATGCATACTCTGCAACTGGGAGAAGGCCAACTTAATGCAATTTGTGCCAATTATTTATTGTAGTTTGCAAAGTGGGTGAATTTCCTTGCAAAACTGGAGCACTCTGCTTAAGTTGTACATCAGCTTCTTCCATCTCAGCATCACATGAACTTTGAGATGGTTCAATACTTGCTAACTGTGACTTCGTAACTTCACAATCAGTTTCTACCAACTTAACAGTCACACTTTCAGATTCTTCCATTTCTACTTCAGACCCATGAGAATCAGGAACCTCTTTCCCCATTTCTACTCGTTAGATGTTTCATCCTCCATTTCTTGATATTTTGATACTTCAGATCATAGCTCCAATTTCTTCTGCAAGCTCCAGTTTCACCTGTTAGAGTTGCTCTCACACCTTTTCTTGGCAGGGATTTATTTCTTCTTGTCCGGCTTTCATCTCTTCACGTCCGGCTTTTATCTTGGCTAAAATTTTCAACAAAGTCTTTGTTTCCTCGGTTCAGGCGCGATGCCGATGCTCTCTTGTGTACCCGCGATTTTCGCTATCCCAGTAGAACAAAAATAGAAGATTTTCAAACATGTTTCAGTTTAAGACACAATAACACGCCGAATAAATACCAATTCAGAAGTCAAACAACAAAAATCAGCGTTATATTTACAAAATTTTCACAGGACTAGTTTCGATGGTTTTACCGAACCACCATCTTCAGAAGCAAACCGCAAATGAACCAATAGGAAATAATGATTAGATAAGAAAGAAGCCTGGACAAGAATA